TGAGGGGGGTCTCTCCACACCACCACCAGTGTGCAGCATCCACTTCGGTCAATTCGGTGGAAGGGGATGATTGGGAGGCCATGATCGTAAGGGCCGAGAGAGGGACTTTTGGCCAGGACACCGGGTTTACACCCCCGCTCTTTCACGAGAAGTGCGGTTTAACCTCTCATCCGAAAGACGGCGCCCACTGACAGTGTAGTGTCCCCTTCACTTTTACTGGGGAATTAGGACACACACAGACCACAGTTTGAGCGCCTTCTGCTTGCCTCACTAACACCACTCCCAACAGCAACCTAGTGTTCCCTAGTGGTCTCCCATCCAGGTACTGACCAGGCTCAGCCCTACTTAGCTTCAGTGTGTAACCGGTCTTGGGCTGCAGGGTGACATGGCTGTGGCAGTTTCCTGTGTGTTGTTTCCTGTGTGTTGTTTCCTCCAAGTGCTTATATATTCCCCCATAGTCCAAACAGATGCGCAACATAGTTGAATTGCATAAGCTAAATTGTCTGCAGTGTATGTGTGTGAATAAGAGTGTATGGGTGTTTCCCAGCAATGAGTTGCAGCTGGAAGGGCATCTGTTACATAAAACATATGCGGGATAAGTTGGTGGTTCATTCCAATGTGGCAACTCCTGATGAATAAAGAGACAAAACCAAAACAAAATTAATAAATTAATAATTAATTAGTATAGTGTTGGGCCTCCTTTTACTGACAATATACCATCAGTCCATCTCGGGAATAACAGATACAAGTCTTGCATGGTGGCTAGAGGGATTTTGAGCCATTCTTCTCGCAGAAAAGTGTTTAGGTCACTATGTGATGCTGCTGGAGGAAATAATCCCTACTCTTTGACCCCAAAATACCTTAAAGTACTCAATAATATTTAGTTCTGGTGACTGTGCAGGCCATGGGAGATGTTCAACTTCACTTTCATGTTTTCACAAACCACTCTGTCACCAATCTTGCTGTGTGCATTGATGCATTATGATCCTGATACACGCCACCACCTTAAGGATACAATGTTTGAACCACTGGGTGCATATGATCCTTCATAATGCTTCAGTAATGCTTGGCAGTGATGCTCCATCTGGCACCAGTACTGGGCCTAGGGAAAGGCATGATGTTGCTGCCCAAACCATCACTGATCCCTCCATGCTTGTCTGTGGGCATCAACAGTATGGGTGGTATTTGTCTTTGGGGCTTCTCCACACTGTAAATCTCCTGGATGTGGGATGGACAGTGAAGGTGGACTCATCAGAGAACAATGCATCTTTCATATTGTCCACAGCACAAGATTTTGGCTGCTGCACCATTGAAACAGGCGTTTGGCATTGGCATGAGTGGGCAAAGGTCTGGCTTTAGCAGAGAGTTGAGGTGCACATTCTGCAGTAAGTTGGGCAGCTATGGTTTGATGTTTTTTTGGATACAATCAGTGCTAACACCCGGACATCATTTAGTCCTGTTAAATGTGTTTCTTCTTGGTGATCTGCTGACATTACTCTGGGTACCGTGGCTCTGTCTTAGTAACAGATGTGCCAGTGAAATGCACACCAACAATTTATCTTCTTTTTGAACTTTGATATATGTCCCCACATGACATAATGTTGTGTGCATTGCAATATTGTTAGCTAAACTGTGCTGTTATTCTGCATCAGACCTTTACACTCTGCTCTTTCTGGTGGTACGTGAAATCAATGAAGATTGGCCACTATATGGTCAAATTTAGCCATGCAGCCTCTAACACTAAACTGGCAAGTGTTGCAGTTTCATTGTCCAACCCCTGTTCTTTCGCAATACATATCAATTGTGTTTTGTCACCATAAATGTAATTTCCACCACATGCTGTCTTTTTCACCAGTGGTGACAGTGTGGTGGAAATGACAGTGCTGAAAATGACATTTCTACTCTTTATTGTTAAAAACGTATATTAAATATAGCTTCACCTATTAGCTTTGAATTGATACTAGCATTTGATGTATACAAAATATTCTTATTTAACTTAATTGTGTTTGCTTTTTAAAAGAAACATTTTAGCAACGAGACCAGCAGCGTGTAAGTACATTTAGACTTGTTTTCAGCGTTTGTGTATGGTTCTAGCTGTTTTCTAGCTATTTGTGACGGTTTCAGTGGTTCAGATCTTACCTCTCTGACAGGTCATTCAGAGTCTCTTGGAGGAGAGAGGTGTCCAAACAGCATCTAAACACTGGGGTACCACAGGGCTCTGTTCTTGGCCCACTTCTCTTCTCTACACGACATCTTTAGGATCAGTCATCCAGAAACATGGATTTTCCTACCACTGCTATAATGATGAAACCCAGTTATACCTCTCTTTTCACCCTGATGATCCCTCGGTTCTGGCTCGCATCTCAGCCTGCCTGTCAGTTATTTCACACTGGATGAAAGATCATAATCTTCAGCTTAACCTGGCAACCCGACTCTACATCATAACTTTTGAATCCAAATGGATGGAGCAACCATTACATCATCCAAAATGGTGAAAAGCCTTGGAATAACGATTGATGACCAACTAAACTTCTCTGACCACATCTCTAGAACTGCACGATCTTGCAGATTCGCACTTTACAACATCAGAAAGGTCAGATCCTTCCTATTTGAACATGCAGCTCAACTCTTTGTTCAAGCTCTTGTTCTCTCCAGACTGGAATATTGCAACTCTCTACTAGCCGGGCTTCCAGCTAACTCTATCAAACCTCTTCAGATGCTTCAGAATGCAACAGCAAGAGTGGTCTTTAATGAACCTAAAAGAGCACATGCCACTCTGCTACTCATCCGTTTGCACTGGCTGCCAGTTGCTGCTCGCATCAAATTCAAAGCTCTGATGTTTGCTTACAAAGAGATTTCTGGCTGCGCTCTTTCTTATCTGCTCCCATTTCTGCAGATTTATGTGCCCTCCAGAAACTTGTGTTCTGTGAATGAACGTTGCATTGTGGTTCCATCCCATAGAGGGAAGAACTCAATTTCCTGAACTTTCACATTCAATCTGCCCAGTTGGTGGAATGAACTCCCTAACTGCAGCAGAACGGCAGAGTCACTTGCTGTCTTCAAGAAACAACTAAAAACTCAACTATTTAGTCTCCACTTTCCTTACTAATCTGCAATTCCTTCTCTGGCTCCACCACTAACTACTACAAAAAAATAAATAAATAAAATGTACTAATGTTTTGCTTACACTTTCTTTACATACCTGAAGCTTGCCTACAGCACTTATTCATTGTTGCTCTTATAGCTGTTTAAATTGCTTCCTTGTCCTCATTTGTAAGTCACTTTGGATAAAAGCATCTGCTAAATGACTAAATGTAAATGTAAAAACACCATTTAGGGTACAGCATGTTTGGAAAGCTGTAAATATGAATATTTTACCTTATCAAGTGATATGTACCCTGATTTTTCATCATGTGTGGATAAAAATTGTAATTCCCGCCATCTTGAACATTTATTATAATTCATTTTCATAGAAACCACCCGAACAATCTTCCACATTAATGTTATGGTGGAAGTGACTCTGTGTGACAGGTATATTTTGCATTTTGGATGATAATAATAGTGGATTGACGGATATGGATTTTTAGTCAATGGATGGCATGTTTTTTAAGAGATTGTTTTATTTGTTATGTTTGATAATTAAACTAAAATGCTTAATGAACTTGTGTATGTGTTCTAAATTGATTACTATCACTTAACATAGGGTTACTAATGAGTTATCTTTGTTATAAATCTGTGTTATTTGAACAATATGTATTTACCAGGCAAAAAATGTATTTGTCAAAATCTTCATTTATTCATTTTCTTTTCGGCTTAGTCACTTTATCTATCCGGGGTCGCCACAGTGGAATGAACCGCCAACACCCATTTCAACTGTAGCGCATGTCTTTGGACTGTGGGGGAAACCGGAGCAGTCGGAGGAAACCCACGCGAACGCAGGGAGAACATGCAAACTCCACACAAAACTCCAACTGAGCGGAGGCTCGAACCAGTGACCCAGCGACATTCTTGCTGTGAGGCGTCAGCACTACACTGCAAAAAATGCTTTTCTTACTTAGATTTTTTGTCTTGTTTCTAGTCCAAATATCTAAAAATTCCCAAATCAAGAAGAATTTTCTAGACAAGCAAAAAATATTGTCTTGTTTTGAGAAATAATATGCCAATATTAAGTGAGCTTTTCCTTAAAACAAGCAAAATAATTTGCCGTTGGGGTAAGCAAAATAATTTTTCGTCAAAAGAAGAAACAAGATTAATTTGCTTACCCCATTGGCAGATTATTTTGCTTGTTTTAAAGAAAAGCTCACTTAATATTGGCATATTATTTCTTAAAATAAGAAAATATGTTTTGCTTGTCTAGAAAATGCTTCTTGATACAAGAAATTTTAGATATTTGGACTAGAAACAAGACTGTGCCACTGCGTCACCTGTCAAAATCTTCTCAATTTAAATTATTTTCGGTAATAATTTTAGTGACATTGGGAAACAACTAAATCACACTTTAAAATAGTACTGAATAAAACGCTTTTCTAGGTAGTGCATTTATAAATAGCCAGTAAAAAGAACAAAAACATATTATTTTATCTAATGACATTAAAGCATTTGTATCTATTAGAATGCTGCTTTACCCATTACTTTAATGAAAATTGTGATTACGTTTAATTTATTCTTTATTCTAAACACCAGTAGCATAAAGTATAATGATCCACCTTTAAGCTAGAGCAGCTTATTTAATATGTTAATGTAATTGGCAAACGCATTTGACCGGATATAAAACCTTTGACTAATAAAAACCTTTAGACACGCCCCTACCAGAAAAACTTTAACCCACAATGAAAAACCTTTTAACCCGCCCCTACCTTTTGCCACGCCTATTACTCTAGACTGCAGTTACCCATACTAGCAAGAAATGGGAGACAGCCACAGTCACTCGGATGTTGTGTCATTCAATCCACCAATCAAACGCAGGCAAATCTGGCACGTGATAGAACCACACGCGTTTCATTCCGCGTGTTCATATTAGCCAATCACCTTTGCCGTCTGTGATTCTGAATGTCACCGGCTGATCTTCTATTTTCAGCTGTTTAGTGACATTGGTTTTGTACAGTATTTGACAAGCCGTTCTTTCTAATTTAGGATTGTTTTCATTTATGAAGCTTTAAATGAATAAACAGCTAAAGCTTAATAAGTAGTTGTTAGCTGTGTGCTATTGCTTTTGGCTGGCAGACATCGCGCGAGGGAATGCTTTAAACGTTAGTACATTACACGGTTTATAAACTAATATTTATTTGTTCCTATTGGATAATTAAGTGTTTAATCTGTCCAAAAAATAACAACTATACCATTTGATTTGAAGTGACCTATATCTGGAAACATGCTAGCACACATAGCGAGAAGAATTGGTCATTTCCATGGCCATCAGATCTCAAGTGCAATTCTACGGCGCATGCGGGCATCACTCAAGACCATCAATCCCATCTCGGTAAGTTTTTATTTATATATTTGTATATAACAGGCCCGTAGCCAGGGGGTCGGGTGGTTCGAAAGGCCCACCCCTCACTGTAAAAGGTCCAGAATTTGTCCTAACTAAATTGTCTTATTTTAACTGCTATACCACCATAATTGTGAAAATAACCCATCGAAAAAGGAGTTAAAACCAGGCGGAGTTCACTGTTGACTGTCCATTTGGCTTGACTTCAGCTAACCTGATTTAACCAGTGCAAACAATTGTTTTTTAGTCCAACATCCAGCTGTGCAAGAACACATACAATTTGACGTAAGTGAGGTCATCTTTCACTACTGACCTACTGTATTGTTGTTAAAGAGAGAAAACATTTTTCAATTAAATGTTATTCTAAATATTATTATTATTATTATTATTATTATTATTATTATGTTTGAATTATTATCTCTTATTATTCAAGTGGCCTAATTCTGACTGAGGAAAGTAGAATGTGCTGGCCAGTTTGTTATTTCACAAATAAATAGCAATAGACTACAATTTTTAATGTAACGTTAAAACTTTAACAGGTTACTTTTTTTAATGATATATGATGTAAGAAATTAGTTTTTTTTAAATAAATATTTATTCATGTTTATTTTATTTTAAATATTTAGGAAATGTTTTTGGTACATTAAAATGTGTTCTTATGAACACCAACCAGCTAATCCAACTCAAAATAGTCTTTAAAATCTCACTAAAATGCATTATTTAAATTTCAGAATTAAATACAAAATGAGTTGACTAACTGCAAAAAGGTCCACCACCCATTCTGCATATGTAGACTGCATGTGTGTGTGTGTGTGTGTGTGTGTTTTAATTACTTACACTATGTAAATGTTAAGTTATTTCCAGTAATATGTCTGTTTTTTACTTTATTGCAAATCTACTTAATTATAATAAAATAGTTTTAGCTTAGTTTTAGTAATATAGCCAATCTAAATTGTTACCTGTAATGTCACTCTTGATCCAGGCAATTTCACTGTGGACGTTTTCATCTCAGCTGCAGGACTTCAGCCAACCCAACCCATCTTGGAGTCCAGAGATGCGCAAGTTTTATGACCATTATAATGCACAGTGTGACACTGACACTGAAACATATGAGAATAAAACTGGGCCTTGGAGGAAGTTGCCCAGCTACAACCGCTCCATTAAACATGCTACTGGTAAGTGAAATGGGTTGGCATATTTAATTGTAGTCACTGTTTCAGTAAAAATTAAATAAATAATGCTGCTATTTTAAGTGTAAAATCAAACCTGTTTTTGTCTGGTAGGTGGCATATACATCAGCAAACTGATCCAGGCCAAAGCTCGACTTTTCACGAGAAGTGTTAATGAGCAAGGTGCAACATTTGAATATGTGGCATTTTTCAATAAGGAGGAAAAAATCTGCATTTGTCTGTTCCAGCCAGGACATTTACTAGAGGGTGCACCTGGGTACGAATAAGCTCTATTCTACTGTCCAACTAAAGAATATTCAGACACAGAACATTATAGTTAATTTAAGTAAAAAATGTAAGTAAAATAAAGGTATTATACTCAAACCTCTTCATAGAATGGACTAAAACATGCTTCAGCGAATCTAGAAAAAAGAATGAAGTTCAGGTTTACATAAATTTACAACAGGACTAAATTAGTAAATGTGGAAATATTAGCCCCTTTCAGACATACAGACCTTTCCAGAAAATTACCGGCAATTTTCCGGAAAGGTCTGTATGTGTGAACAGGCTCTTTTTGAAAACACCGGTAAATTCATTCTTTCTATTTTACGGAAAGAGAACTTGTAAAATTACAGGTAATTTGCCGTAATGCTGCTCTGTGAGGCAGAAGGAAGATTGCTGGAAAGAGCGCCTGCATGTCTAGAAGGGGCTGACGTGAAACGTCTACTTTAGCCAATGAGAAAACTCAGACGCATTCACATCCGCGCCGTTAATGACAATAAAAGCCTTTGAATATTTTTTCCAGACACATTTAGCTACTGGATGTTAGTCAGATAACGTTTCTATGCTCCTTCTTAATGTCAACTGTGTAAATAATTATCGATTTGTTTACCTTCAAGCTCTGCTTCCAGTTTCTTGATGTGTAACGTGTGCCCACGAAGCAGCTGATGAGCACCAGCACACACACACATATCATGTACATCTCGAAAGTGTTCCTCTATATTTTTATATTTTGGAATGGATGTGTGAAAGATCTTTTCCGGAAAAAAAATGTAACCTCCTCGCCTGTGTGAACAATAATTTTTTGAATTTACCGGTAAAGTCGTTCCTTAAATTTTCCGGATATTTATACTATCACTGTATGAAAAGGGCTATTGTCATACTATATACTAGTATTCATTATAATTTACTATTATACTATTATAACATATTATTATTATTTATAATAATATGTTATTTGACTTCATCAAGATGCTATTTTTTTTTTTTTTTTTTTGAAACAGTACTATTTTCTAAACATTATACCAAAAATACTTTTAATATGAGAAATGGTAAAGGTGTCTGAATTTTTGGTTTGACTGTGTACATTTAATAAAAAGAAAAATGTGAAATAGTTTGCCAAAGTTGCATTTGTGAAGAATGGGTTGGAAACATGCTTTTTTTCTGTGTGGCAGACATGTACATGGTGGAGCCATAGCCACAATGATTGACACAGTAACAGGTACGCTTGCTGGCTACCTGTCAGGACCCAGTGTGACTGCCAATCTCAACATAAACTATCGCAGGTGAGCTATTGTTTTAGTCTTTTATAGGCAGTTGTGGCATGAATAAATGTTTTGATTTATGTTAATCTGTTTTCTTGTACAGTCCAGTACCTCTGGGTAGTGTGGTTATAATCCACTGTGCTCTAGATCGAATAGAGGGGAGGAAAACATTCATTACTTGCAAAGTGACCAGCACTGATGAGTCCAAAGTCTACACCGAGGCCACAGGTATAGTACACAAACTTATACATGTTCAGTATGTACTGAGTTTAGTGATGTGTCAAAGGTGAAAAATATACACAAACAGCTATTTATTTTGAACTTTGTAAATTCTCAAATTGTTCCTTATATGCAAGCTGATGCATCAATTAGGTATGTATTATATTACAAGATAACAGTAGCACACAGCCATTTAATTTCAGCCATTCAATCAAAGTAGCGAGTTATGATCTAGATTACAGTGCTCGCATATCTTCCACACCATTATATATATATATATATATATATATATATATATATATATATATATATATATATATATATATATAGCGGATTAGCTTAACGGGGCATCGTTCAGCGATCATTTGAGTGGGCAGTCGAGTTTATTATGGCTATTGCTATCAAAATAAAAACCCATTTATGTTTGAGCAGGGTAACAAGATTGAAGTTTAAGACATTAGATTCATAAATATACACAGGCACCTTTCCTTATACAAAATTACACTTTGACTAATCTAACAAAAACTAACACTTAAGACAACCACACATTCATACAAGTGTAGAAAAGAGTAAAGAATTTAAAGTAAGAGGTTGAGAGAATATAATGATGGGAAAACCTCAGAGTTTGTAAGAGCAAACCAAGCGAACCAAACCAAACAATCAATATAACCCTTCTAGGGTCTTTTAAAGTTGCATTTAGTTTACATCAGTTGAGATGTGTTGAGAAGTCTACTTGGGTATGTCCATGTGATGTTAAGAAGCTCCCGTTGTTGAGCACGTGGCGGGTTGTTGTCCCTTGTCCCCGCGAGGTTTGAGAATGGAGGTGGAGTCGTTAGTTTGAAGTTTGAAGCGGCACGGCCAGACGCGATGACTACTGGTTTGCGACGCACTAAACTTAACTAGACTCTCGATGGAAAACAAAGAAAAGAAGGTATCTGAGATGTAAAATTCCGAGCTGTGTGATTGACCCTTTCCGTCTGGGTCTCCGCCTGCTTTCTTGGAGGTTTCTCTGCTTAGGTGTTGTTTATAGGTCGTTGCAGTTGAAGAGGTTTCAGAGAAGAGTTACTTTTTAGAGAAAGAGTTGAAGAGGAGCTCTTTCTGAAGAAGAGCAAGTTGAAGAGGTTGCGGTTTAAGAGAGCATGGTTCAAGTAAGAGAGGGCATTGCTTTGAACAAGCTTTATATAGCGGGTTCGGATCCACCCTCCATCAAAAATTGACCAATTAGAAACTAACCTCTCTGCATCATGGTTAATGGCCCTTTGTTCAAGAAAGAGAAATTTGCATAGGCAAATTTGATGCAAACTGAGGCAGAAATGTTTAAGTCTCTTAAAATGTTAATATGTTGCACTCGTTTTAAGATAAAATGTCAATGATCAATTAGTACAGCAAGTTAGCTTCAAAACAACTCTAAACATGAACATTTTATGAGCTTGTTTAGCTTCAGTAGAGTTAAACATTGTATGCAGGAGTATTGAAACCATAATATCAATACAGGAGTAAGGCAAACATTGCAAAGCACATGATTACACATAAAGAGAGAGTAAAGTTTAAATTAAAACATCAGTCTTAAGCAAAGAGCTTATGGGAGTCCTGAACCATTCTTTGTTCAGTGCTGCATGGCACATTCCTTTGGGTCATATATACCTTGGAATTGGGTTACAACTGACCATCGAGTCTTCCCTGGGCAAAGTTAGCTCATTTGTTGAATAAAAGCAAAATAATTATGTGTCTGGTTGGCCATATTTGTTGCACCCTTAGATTGTTTACCAAGGCACTTTGAATATTCGGTCTGAAATAACCTGCAAGTATGACTTGAAAACAACATTAACACTGTTTATTTGACTGGGAACAATGTTGTACTTGATAGTCATTGGCTGCTAATATGATTTTGCTATTTTGTGTAGACTATCCTGACACAAAATACGGCGAAAATTCAACACGATGGTCAGCAATAGTTTGCTTACAGTGTTCACGTGTTTATACACAGAGAGCAGCATTTGCAGCGGATCTTTTAATATTTTAGTGATATTAACGTACTGTAAAACTAAGTAACTTAGAAATCATTTTGACTAAGGTCTGTCTTTAAACACTGAAAGAGTAATGCTGACCATACGAACTATAACTATGCCATCTGAATGAACAAAAAAGGGCCGCTGATCACATACACTTACCAATTCTGTAGACAGGACAATCAGCTCATACTGGAGATGCGTCTTTTTTAAAGGAGACGAAAAGCAAATCCGAATCTCACCATTGATGAGAAATGCTCTAAAGAAAAAAATGTTCCAAACAAATGCATTTCTGCCGCGCATCGCGAGCACTGATCCACACGTAAATCCAGCAGCGCTCTCATAGAGCGAAAATGAAAACAAAACCTTCACATTATGAAAGCAACACTGGTGACCCGTATCTCTAAACAATTCCTATTCTTTACCCACAACTTTTGGCAACACGACGTGTGTTGTCTCTCTGCCGTCTGAACACCATTTCAGGTACAGCAGGGCTCATAAATTGCGACCATTTTGGTCGCATATGCGCCCAAAATTGTATCTATGCGACCTCAAAATATACTTTGGAGCATTTTTGCGAGTGCAATAAATTGTTGTGTGCGACCAGTTTTTACTGCAAAATGTTTACTACATGCGCTGATTCGGGAGACATTCACACAGAATGCATCTCTGCACTTGAAACGCAGCATGCAGAAATGGTTTAAAACAGTTGTCATGTCAACTTACAGCAGTAAACAAAGCCAAGTCCGTAATGCTTGCCCCACCTTCACACTCTTCTTATTGGCCCACTGCTCTAGCAGTGAAATATCAGCTACCAATCACTCAGTCAATGCCTTCTGGCTTGGTATGACAGAGAGAGCTACTACCGCGAAAAACTTTAAAGCGCTGAAGATGCGATTGAAGATAACACTGACAGATTTTCTTTTAGAAACCATGGCACCTTAAGTTACAAATAATGACACATCTTACTAGTGATCATGTGCTGAATGTTAATCCACTATCTACACTTTTCGAAGAGTGGATAAAAGACTTCTGTCGGCTTCAAGTCCGCCATAAAATATCTGTGGGATGGGATTTTCAGGTAACTGTTTGCCACATCTAGCACAAGAGCTTCTGTTTAATCCTTCATATAATTGGCAGATGCTGTCCGCCATACAAGTGACAGCTATATGCCAAATTTAACACCACGTACACCATCGCAAACGGGCTTACGCTGACTAAACTAATATCGCTACTCATAAAAAGTATTGCTATTAACATGGCGTGTACATATAATAAGGTACAGTATTTGTCAAAAACATCAGTGCAATATCAGACCCGACCTGGGAGAACAGCACAGTTATATCGTTAACAGATTCATTCATGTCAAGCAGTGCGTGCAGGGCCGGTGAGCAGTCCGTGTACCTTTTGGTCACTCAGTTATGTTATAAAAATCTATTTTCTTGTGATAACAGGATTTTATTGAAACATATTTTTTCCTCACGCTAGCATATATATATATATATATATATATATTTTTTTTTTTTTTTGCTTGTTAGTTTGATTAGTGTTGATTTCAAATGCAATAAATATGTTTGTATAAAACATGTAGTAATGGTGCCTATAAGTGCGATTAAATTTTGGCTGATGCGCCTAGATTTTTAAAGTTAGGAGCACCGGTGCTACCAAGCAAAAATGTTAATTTCGAGCACTGTACAGTCTTTGAACCTAGCATGCATGTTAATGAAGTTGCAGCACATACATAATGGAGTGCGCTGATTGGTTTGAACCAAGCCTTACTCATGAATAAATACAACACACTCAGAGACGTAATATGGGACACCCAGGTACTGACGTCCAGTCTGCACGCTAAGATCTCATGGCTGTGACGCAGCTTCAAAATTAGTTTCAAACCAGAAGTACAAATTTGCTCGAAATAACGCAAAAACAACCAATTTTTTCTTTTTAGTGAGATATATGTGTCCTAATAGTGTTTAGCAGTGTGGGACACATATAAGACTGTCAACAGCTCAAAAAATGTGTTTCGTGACCCTTTAAGGAGAAAGTCAGGATGTGCGAATATAAAATTAACTTTACTTCTTTGTGTAAGTTCACATACCCTGCAGTACAGGTGCAGTTCACTGTCAGAATGCAGTCCTTTTGCCTCATTGTATTTGGCCTGGCACCTCAGTTTTTAGCACTACATAGTGTTAAATCAGGTAATCATGGAGCGTTATTTCTTGCACATGAACACACAGAACAACATTGTTGGCATCCAAAGATTTGCAGGCCTTTAACTTCTCTCTTGTAAAATCACTTGGAGCTTCAATGAGATTGTATATTTCAGGCTGAATGCTTGGCCATTTCGTCTTATTTAATATTCATTGGGAGGGTGCTATTGCAAATGGACCTGTCAGATGATTGCCTCTCACTTTAACGTTAATTTTGCCAAATCACTGTCTTATCACTGGATGACAAGCTGTTATAATACACTAAAAGCATTATATAAATAATATATATTATATGTAATCAATATGTCGTATTTTTTTAAGACAACAACAAACTCTGTATCGCATCGGATGTCAGGTAAAATGCTAGTTTAAATGCTAGTGATCCCGTTTTTTTTCTGCCACCTCCCTGTGCACGCATCCTGAATGTTTGCAAACATGGTACTGATAAAAAAAAAATCCTCTTATATTTTAAACTACTCTTTCTCGGTTTACAGGACTAAATGCAGACCTAATGTTTTTATACTATCTCCTCTTTTCTAACCATAGCTAACAGAAAATATGTATGGTTTATGGCTATAACTGGCAAATTTTAGTACCTGCTAGACATGTCATAAATGTCTGTACACGAATAATGTTAAATCTGTCTTGTAAAAAAAGGATATTCAAGATTATTTAAAAAAAGTTATATTTTATATATTTTTATTTGTTAAAACCAACACAATTCTCCTCAGTTCTTGGCTTTGGTGATGCAGAAAAGCTTGGAACAGCTGTCATATAAGCCCGATTTAAA